AGGAATAGAATTTAGGTAATTGGTTGGAATGATGACACAGGATTGTTTGTGTTATTAAGAAATAGAGACTGAATTTGTGAAGGACAATTATTGCAATTCCAAACTTGTGAAATGGACTTGAAACCATAGAATAGATTACTAGTACTTGATCTTACTATGAGTGGCTGATTGAGTGTTAGTGGTGACAGGACTCTATTAAGGGAACTTCCAGATGCTGTCGATAGAATAGAAATTGCACCCATTGCATTCACTTGTAACACCACATTACTTGGTATTAGATTCAATGTTGTTCCGTGCGTTATAGAATGATTGAAACCAAGATAAATTCTCAAGCCTTGAGAAGTGAAATCACAACTAACCATGGAAGAATCTCCAAAGGATAAAATATCATTTTGTGAGAAGAAATCTTGACAATATTTGGTACTAGATGGTATGTATGCCAGTATTGGAGGATATGAAGCTGAAAGGATTGCATTAGGCCCATCCAAGTCAATTTGCAGAAATTGACATTGGTTTCCTCTATATCCAAGTTTGCATTGGCAGTTGTTATAGGAAATACAATCACCAAAAGAGGAACAAACGGTGGTGTCATTTTGCAATTTTCCATAACAAACAGCAATATCGCAATTTGGGCCAGTATATCCTGTATTGCAGGAACATAAATTATAATTCGAACACTTTCCCCTTCCTGAACAAACAGCAGATTCATTACTGGAATAATTGAAACATCTTGTGATCTCACAATTCTGGCCATACCATCCATTGAAACATTGGCAGATATCAGGTGAGATACATAACCCATTTGAGCTACAAATATTACTGTTGTTTGAGGCTACATCATTACAGATAGTATATTGGCAATTACTTCCAACATATCCTAAATTACATGAACATAAATTTGGACCTACACAAGTTCCATTACCACAACCGAGCCCGAATAATGCATTTCCCACTGTGTTTTTAACACCTGCACACAAATATGATTGACACTCTGAGTCAAAATATCCTGCATTACAAGTACAATTATTAGAACTTAAACAGGCTCCTTTTCCAGAGCAAACGTTGGAAGATGCTGATGATTTTCCAAAGCATGCTGTAATTTGACATTCAGTTCCAGTATACCCATTCGAGCATGAGCATGTGTTGGGGAGAGAGCAGTTTCCTCCACCTGAACACACATTTGAATCATTAGAATATTTACCA